CTGTTGATCCCGGAGGGGACGCAGACAAACAGTCCGACCGGAGGAAATTCCTCCGTCTCTAGTTTCTTGGCCCCTCTCTACTCAGGGGTCTTAGGGACAAAACGTGGTATGACGCTAAATGATAAAGACTTTTTCATTACTGTGTAGTCTGCTTGACGTCCACCAAGTTCAAATGTACATAAATAAAAAAAACCTGAATGTACACAGTCAATGGTCACTGTCAGGTCCATGTTTGACAGGGTTTGTTGCAGCATTTTTTTACAGAAAGGTTTAAGCATGGCACCATTTCACCGTGTCAACAAGTTGAAACTCCAAATTTCAGAGTGTGGAGCTATGAAGCTTTTCATGTCCATTCCTGCGGATCAAGACTGTTGATCCGACATGGGAATGTGGTTTTAAGGCATTCCAGAAGACTAGGGCAGCCCGATCCGACCAAAATGACACTAATCTCCAAAAGTACAGAATGATGGAGATGTGTTTCGTCAATCTGAGCTTTAGTAAGGAAATATAAAACAATGTGACACACACCTTTCTCCAGAACAGTTGATTTAAAAACGTTCATGCTGTGATAACTGTATAGAATATAGAGATACCCTTTCATATACTGTACCTAGATTCAGACAATATGCTCCATCACAGGGACTGTATCTGAAAGCATGGCATCCACTTTACATTTTAATTTCACCGGCACAGGTTGACTTTCTCCCTGCTGTTAACAGTTCTATACAGTGGTAGAATTATAACTCAGATAGTTAACTTAAGTTAAAGTACCAATCACACAATCTTAATTACAAGTTCCTGCATTTAAAATCCTACTTAAGTCAAGTATTATTAACTAAATGTACTTTAAGTAACAAAAGTAAAACAACACATTCTGCAGAAATGCCCCCGACTGTATATAGGACTTTTATTTAATTGTGAATACTGTTGAATTCATTTTTAAGTAGCATTTTCCTACTAGACAGTTCAGTCCAGTGGTTCCCAACTTTGACAATATGAGGGGTTATGAGACAGCTACGCATTGCACTTGTGCAAGGAGATTTTTACAATCACATACTTAATCATTAGGGAAGTTAAAAAAAGGGGCATTTAATGCTGAAACAGTTGATTGAACAAACCACACAGGGTCGTAGATGTGAAACAAAGTTCAGCAGTCTGCAGAGAGCAGAAGAGTGAATGATGAATGATGTTGATTCAGTGTTTCTTCTGTAGACACTGCCGTGGCCAAGTAAGGTAACTGTGAGTGAATGAATGAACGGGTAAGTGGTGGATCTATTAGAGTACCTCTCATCGAAAAAACAGCAGCCAGTTGTTGGTGGCTTGGCTCTTTGGGTGTTAATGAGAAAATAAACATATTTATTTACTGGCCAAGATGAGCCTCAGACTAACCATGAATTACTAGCACATACAATAGTGTGAAGTAAATGCTGCTCTTTCCCTCTTAGATGTACTCCCAGCTCTGTCCATACATCCTCTGGGTCCTGCTGCTCCTCAGCATCCCTGCTGCACACACGGCAAAATGTCCAGAGGAGTGCGTCTGCGACCAGATCCAGCTCACTGTGACCTGCGTCAACAAGAACCTGACCCAGGTTCCTCCCACTGTGGACGAGGTCTCTTATTCACACATGTATACCAACATTTCTATCTTATATTTAGTGCCCATTTTTGAATGATCTAATAAGTTCCATTTTCTTTATAGATCACAGTGAAATTAGACCTCAGAGGTAACGACATCCAGGAACTTCCCACCAGGGCTTTCAAACACACCCCCTACCTGACTCACCTGTCGATGCAGCGCTGTAACATCCGCAGGGTAAAGGAGGGGGCTTTCCGCGGCCTCGGCCGTCTGGTCTTCCTCAACCTGGCGAACAACAACATTGAGATCCTCTACCAGGTCACACACACACACACAGATGCAGTTCTCACAGGCATCATTTATCGCATCACCACTTTAAATTTTTTTAACTAGAATTCTAGCAGAGTAAAAACCTTTCCTTTGTGTTTTGTGAATCCAGGAGTCATTCGACGGCCTGTCCTCGCTGAAGCAGCTTATGATCGACCGCAACCGTGTGGAAGAGATCCAGCCTGGAGCTTTCACTCAGCTCGGCTTCCTCAACCTGCTCTCCCTTACACACAACCAGCTGGTCTACATCCCCAACATGGCCTTTCAGGTACACACACAACATACACAAAGTACCTCACAATGGCAAACTGAGAGGGCGGTTTAAAGTAATGCAGCTCCGACCTCTTCTCCTTGCAGGGCTTGCAGAACATCAAATGGCTCCGTCTCAGTCACAACTCTCTGAACTACCTGGACACAGAGGCCTTCGCTGGTCTGTTCACGCTCACCCGTCTTAGTCTGGACCACAATGAGCTGCAGTTCTTCCCCTCTGAGACCATGACCAGGTAGGATACTTGACATATGACACTATCCAGGTGTTTGCCACAGAGCTACACCAAACTCTCATATGTACTTCGGCACAGTGATGCTTTGAGCTAAATGCAACCATCAATGACAACCCTAACATACTAATGTTTAGAGGGTACCATGTTCACTATCTTAGTTGGTTACTTCTGCAGGTATTAGGTCATGAGCCAAAGTACTGGATGAAGTGCTGATGGCACTAAATCAAAAGGGTATCACCAAATTTATTAGGAGTAATAAATACATGTACTACATTTTATGTCAATCCATCCAAAAGTTGTTGAGCTATTTCATACAAAACTACAAATGTAAGCCTCAAGGTGGTGCTAGAGGAAAGACAGGGTATGGAAATCCGTAGGATTCTCTAGTACAGCAGTGTATTGCTGCCAAGCCAGAAGAAAAACAGATAATTATGTATAGCAATATATGTATGGCATTTCATGTTATAATGTAACTTATTGTTACAAGAAATGTCTCACCTTATAATGTGTTAACTTGTACTCTGATATTATTATAACTAGGGATGTCCCAATCAAGGTTTTTTAGCCCCCGATCCAATTTTACATACAGTACGTAGTGTACACTTCAAGTACATTGAAATTATTGAGAAATTAATCAAAAGTACACACCTGACAACTGAATTTTCATCATAATTTTCCACATTTCTCCCTCTCGGTATCCAGACTGCCAGAGGTGACCCGTCTCGATCTGAGCTACAACCCAATGACTTACATTGGAGAAGAGGTGGTGTCCATGGCCAAACTGACCCACCTCTTCCTGGACCACATGTCCCTGCAGGACCTATCCAACACAGCTGTATCGAAATCCCCCAGCCTCGTCCACCTGGATATCAGCTACAACCAGCTACGTGTCATCCAGCCCTTCTCTGAAGGTTCACCCAATCTGGCACGCGTCAACCTGGCTGGGAACCCCATCTACTGCAACTGCTACCTGCGTCCTCTCAGGTACAGCAGACCTTTGTGGGGTTTGAACCAATGGCTGACTTAGGCCACGGTGCTTTAACTCTGTCAACCAAAAGGTACTAATCCCTAATCTCTTTTTGACCTCACTGCAGGGAGTGGGCGATCCGTGGCAAGGTGAAGCTGATGGGGACATGTGGAGGACCGGCCCATCTGTCAGGAGAGAACCTGGAGGCCGTTTACCCCCCTGAGCTGCGTTGTCAGAGCCAGGAGGCTATGCTGAAGGCAGAGTTTGAGGAGGCAACCAGGATCACGCCACCGCCCACCGTAGAGCCAGAGAACAAGGTCAAGTGTCCTGCCAACTGTATCTGCGAGGTGAGTGGATTCCAGAGAAGTTTTCTGATTTACTTTAACTACCAGATAAACATTTCTTGTCTACTTACACTTCTGTTAGCTGTTTACCAGAATGACTTCCACCTCTTACTGAAATGTTTTTTTTTATTTTTGATTGATTTGCTTCGCTTAACATAAAGACTGGAAGCAGAGGAAACCTCTGTCTACTGTAAAAAGAAAACCAACACCTCTAAAGCTCAATAATAACATGTTATATCTAGTTTGTTTAATCCTGTACCAGTGACTGAAGCAATAAAAAAAAAAAACCTGAATGGCTTGATTGCCAACAAGAAAAGAATGCAGCCTATAAACAGAAGAGTGGTGTCAGTTTACTGCCAAACGATTAATTGTCATTTCTGCTACCAAAGAACCATTGTAGCCAATGGAAATACCAGAACATAATGCCATGTCAAATACCATTTACTGTTAACCTATTCATGGAAATAAAACAAGTTTCAGGGTAGGTTTTCCCTGAACAGCAGAATTTAGAAGTGACTGAACTGATAAGGGATACGATGTTTAACTATATTTATCATACTAACTTTTAAATGGAAAAAAAAAAAAACAATCTTCCACTTACAAATTTTTTTTATTTAAAACCAAAACACATCCACGTGCAAAACTTGTAGTCTTGCTTTAGGTTATATGTTGGGTCAGTTTTCTGCTACTTCCTCGTATAACAGATTCTACTACCACTGGCCAAAAGGTTGTTTGATTTGTGTCTGTCCTCCCCGTCTTCAGGCTGAGACACACCACTCCTCGTGTGAGAACCGCGGTCACACCAAAGTTCCTCGAGGTTTCTCTCCCACCACGCGTCTCCTTGACCTGCGTGGCAACCACTTCCACTACATCCCTGGCAACAGCTTCCCTGGTGTTGCCCAGGTGGTGTCCTTACATCTGCAGCGCTGCAAGATCGTGGAGGTAGAGGGAGGGGCTTTCAGTGGAATGAAGGGGCTGATCTACTTGTACCTGTCAGAGAATGACCTCACTTCCCTCAGCCCTGATGCCTTTAAAGGTCTTTTAAATGCAAAGTTAAATTGGTAGAAAATTCCTTTATTCTGACTTGTGTCTTAATACTCGAATTCTACAATCTAAATCCACAGGCCTCCCTCAGCTGACTTACCTCCACCTGGAGAAGAACCGCTTCACCGGTTTCCCCAAAGGAGCCTTCAAACTGGTGCCCAGTCTGCTGGCGCTTCACTTAGAGAACAACGCCATCACCAAGCTGGAGCCGGACACCTTGACCGGAGCCTCAGGCCTCAGAGCCCTCTATCTCACCGGTAATGCCATTGATCACATGTCGCCCAGGGCTCTGCACCAGGCCAGTGACCTTGATACGCTCCATTTGGGAGGAAACAAGCTGAACGAGGTGCCCACTGAAGCACTGAGCAAGACGGGAAACCTCAGAGACCTGAGGCTGACTGGGAATCCCATTCGGTGGGTGGGGCCAAATGCCTTTCGACCACTGGAGAGGTCACTGAAGGAGCTGTATCTGGATAACATGGGACTGGAGAAGGTGAGCAGGCTCTAGATTTGAGCTAGCAGTCACACTTTCCAACAGTTCTTATTTCTCTAACCTGCTACATGCCACAGTAGTTGCTTTAGGATTTACCACAAATAATTAGGTTATTTAACAATTTCCTGATGTGATATCTCCTACTAGATGTCGCAGAACTCCCTGGCAGGTCTGGGTCCAGGGTTGAGGAGTCTTTTCCTGGAGGGCAACCAGCTGGAGGAGTTGCCTAACTTCCACCCCCTCACTTCTTTGGAGGTCATCAACCTGGCCAACAACCCTCTGATGTGTGACTGCCCTCTCCTGCCACTACGCTTGTAAGACAATAACAGCACGAGTGCAGAAATGATTGTGGTTTGAGGCTTTTTAGCTAAAACCGGGATGACTATTTACAAATTTAGCAACTAGTAACACTAGTTACTCATCTGAAAGGGTTAACTTAATGTTTCTCTTCATTTAGGTGGATTGAGAAAGTCAACCTGAAGGTACGAGCCACTTGTGCCAATCCCCCTGAGCTGAAGGGTCGCAGGGTCAAGGACGTCCACGTCTTCAGAGCCTGTCCAGGGGGCGAGAGCCTCCCCTCCGCCCCAACAGTCACCCCAAAGCCCGCCAAGGCCCCCAAAGCCACCAAACCCAAACCAATGCACCTCAACAGCCTTCGGCAAGTCAAAATGCTCAAAGCCAAATCCAAATTTCGTAAAAGCCCCAACACAAAACCGGCAGCAGCCAAGAAAACCACCAAGAGACGCAGCATGCCCTGAACCTGTTGCCTTTCGAACTGATGTTCCGAGACCACAGCTTCCAGTAAACTGGCAACTGTTGGAAGATTTTGTGGTTAAACCACGGGGTCAACTAAAACTGTAACCTCTGCTGACTTCGAAAGCTGTAGCTGCTGAGGCTGTTTCACATCTCCTGTCAGCCAGTTCCCCTCAGCCAGCTTTTTTGCAGTATTTCCTCTTTGCTGTCTAATTAATAGTGTTGAAAAAGGGCAAAAAGAAAAAAAAACCTACACCGAACACAGATGCTCTCTGTCAGCACGGCCCTGCTTCGCATTCACAGCATTTGATACACATTCTCAGCCGTCAAGCAGCTCTGTTGAAGGAGGCAAATGAACTGAATGTTGTTAGCTTTAGTTATTTGCTCAAAAACTGATTTGGCCTTATGCTAGTTACCCATAACCACTACATCACAACTGCAGAATGTACTGAATTCACTGAATTTCAAGCTATACTCAGATACTCTGAGACAACATTCAAATCAGAAAGTTTAGGAACAATATATTTTGTTTTAATCAGTGACTTCATATTTACAAAAAGAAGACATCTGGATATAAAACAGGAAAAAAAATAAAACATTACAACAAAAATGTGTCTTCTATGTCAACCCAGAACATTTCTAAGTCATATTTACAGGTTTGATGTCAAGATTCAGAATGATAACTCGTGTTAAACTCCAATAAACCAGTTATTGAAACCTTTCAATTCTGCATGAATATCATTGTGTAGTGGAGCTTAGAGACACAAACAAGTGAGGTAGGTTTGAAATTGGTTAAATTAATCCTTGAAACAACAGTTATAATTTGTAGGTACAGCAAGTATCTGAAGTTATGACCCATAAGATTTTCCTCCCCCATTTCTGCCAGAAAAGAAAAGAAGCATGTATGTAATCCAGTGTGATTCCACTGAATTTTATCTCATTTATATCAGTTTACTGTTCACTCTCCCACAGCTGTATCAGAGCTGGATTACAGCGTTGGACCTGCAAATGCGCGTTGCCAAATCAACCAAGACTGAAACCTTAAGGATCATAACTTTAAACACTAGAGATTAAAAGATGCACTGGCTCTCCCCAGTGATGTTGTACCTTTTTATTTTCTCTAAATACCCCAGCCTGCTTTTGTTTGTATCAGTTTGTCTTTTTTGGTCAGTGGTTCTCTTTAGTTTTTCTTTCCTTCGACACATTGGTATTATAGTTTTCCCCAATCTCTTTGCTCATCCACCTTTTCTAGTCCTCTTTATTCTTTTAAGCAGACGTACTCGTCTTCGTATCGCTCTCTGAAATCTTGTC